GTAGCATGCCACCTCCAAGGACATAGCTTGGGAGGCTAGAGGCGGACATACTTTTGTCGTTTACTTTTTGATGTATTACATGTAATTCAAGCCAAGGGCTTAATGTGTAATGAGTTAGTACTCTTTTGTTGTAACCAAGTGTTAACTTGGAAAGCTGTAAGCCCATAGGGCATTTGCTTTTGTTGTTAACATGTAATACTTATGTAATGGAATTCTGATAAATGGAAGAATGTAGAACTTTTACATATCAATGCATGTCTTATTTGATGGGTTTAATGTTATTATTTTGAGGGCGTTACAATTAACCTCTTATGATCTCTAGCTTAGTCAGGATTATTAGGTAAAGTTTATCCTAATCAAATTATCGAATGTCGACGGTGTAAACTTGCCAAAATGACATTACTCCCTTTTCTCTTAGACATATTGATGTCTAGAAACCTTCTCATGTTCTCATTAAAGGGGATTATGTATACTCTATGTCTTTTGTTGATGATTGCATCCACTATACTTGAGTTTATCTTATGACACATAAATCTGACTTCTACCAGATATACCATACATTTCAGTCTATGATCACTATATAATTTAGGTCTACTATTAAAGTATTATGGTCTGTCTTAGGTGGGGAATATTTTAAGAAAAAATTCTGTGAGTATTTGGAAATTTTAGGTACCATTCATCAAATTTCATGTTATGATACACTCGTCCAAAATAATCAAGCTGAGGGTAAACACTGCCATCCCCTTGAGATTGCTCGGTTTTTTCTTCTTTCTGCCTCTATTCCAGCTTCGTTTTTGGGTGAGGCCATTCTTATTACTGTTTTTCTTCTCAATCATATGCCTACTCTCATTCTCTCTGGTCGGTCTCCTTATAAGGCTTTGTTTTTTCAACTTCTCAATTACTCCCTAGGTCTGCTTATTTTGTCATTATTTCCCGAAAAAATATGACCAAATTTAGTGCTTAGTCTGTCCTATGTGTCTTTTTAGACTACAGCCTTACTCAGAAAGACTATCGTTGTTACGACCCTATTTCTCGTCACCTTTATGTCTCCCACTATATTGCCTTTCTTGAATGCCTGCTTTACTTTCAGTTTCTTGCAATCACTGCCCCGATTTCCAAAGAGGATTTTATTCATATTGATTAATTTCTCCTAAGGTCCCTCCTGATAAGTATATCTTTGCTATTCTCCATGAGCTTGTTCCCTCTTCTTCTCCAATCACCCCTCTTGTTGAGTCCCTCTCCACTGTCCCTCATGAGTCTATTCCCCCTTCCCATCCTCCTCTCCTTCCCCGTCCTGCTTCTTCTCCTCCATTGTTAGTCTATTCTCGTCGCAAGGCCCCCTCCACTAGCCTGATCCTCCTAGTTTTGAGGACTCGAATCTTACCTACCATAAGTATCCACTTCACAATCGTAAACTAGTAGTCAAACTTAGTTTTGTTAAAACATGTTTTTCTTCTTCATACTGCACCTTTTTGTCTACTATTCACTCTTTTTTAGAATCCCAGTCTTACAAGGAAGCCTGTTAGGATCCTAATTGGATTTGAACTCTACAGGACTAGTTGTCTTCATTGTGGAAGACTATTACTTGGGAACCGGTTCCTTTACCTACTGGCAAAAATCTAGTTGATTACAAATGGGTCTGTAAAGTCAAGACTCATTATGATGTTTCTCTCGAGTACTGCAAAGCTCGTTTGGTTGCCAAAGGTTCCTCACAAGAGTATGGTATTGATTATGAGGAGACATTTGCCCCTTTTACTAAGATGACTCTTGTTCATATTTTGATCTTTGTCGTTGTTGTTCGTCATTAGCCGCTTTGTCAGATGGATGTTAAGAATGCTTTTCTTAATGGTCATCTCACTAAGGAGGTTTACATGCATCCTCCCGTTGGCCTTTACCATTCTTCTGAATAGGTTTGTCGTCTTTAGCGTGCTTTGTATGGTTTGAAGCAATCTCTTCATGCTTGGCATGATCATTTTTAGACAACTGTTACTAAGTTTAGGTTTTATCCTTATGCCCAAGGCTGTGCTTTGTTTCTCATCCACGCATTTGCTGGTTTTGTTGCCTTATTATTGTATGTGGATGATATGATCATCACTGGCTTTGACTCTTCTACTATCTCTGAGATCAAGCAGCATATCTTCCGCACTTTCGAAATGAAGGATCTAGTCACATTACGGTATTTTCTTAATATTGAGGTAACTTCTTCTCCCAATGGCTACTTTCTATCTTAGGCTAAGTATGCCAATGAGTTTATTCAACGTGCTACTCTTACTGACACTAAGATTTCTAATACCACCATTGAGCTTAATGTGAAGCTCAATACTACTGATGGTGTCCCTCTGGATGATTCTACTTTATATCTAGAGCTTGTGGGTTACTTAGTCTATCTGACAATTACTTGCCATGATCTTGCCTATACTGTTTATGAAGTTAGTCAATTCGTTTCTGCTCCTCACTCTACACATTGGGCTACTTTGCTTTGGATTCTTCCCTATTTTCGCAGTACTATCTTTCGAGGCTTACTTTTGTTTTTTACTTCTTCTTTGGACTTGGTGGCCTATGTCAATGCTAATTGGGCTGGTGATGTTAATGATCGTAAGTCCACTTCTACTTTATGTATGTTTCATGGTAATTTTTTGATTTCTTGGAAAGTAAGAAACAAACTGTTGTTACTCGTTCTACTGTCAAAATTAAGAATCGTGCTATGGCTCATGCTACTATTAAAATTTTCTAGCTTTGTTGTTTATTGTCTTACTTGGGCATCCCCCAGTCCTCCCCAACCTCTCGCTACTGTGACAATTGAAGTGCTATTCAGATAGGCCATGACACTGTCTTTCGTGAACAAACGAAACACATTGAGATTGATTGTCACTTCGTCCAACAACATTTGCAATTTGACTCTATCTCGATTTCTTTGGTCCCTTCGACTCTACAACTTGTTAACTTATTTACCAAGATTCACATCACTGCTCGGTTTCGGTTTCGGTTTCGGTTTTTTCTTAACAAACTCTTAGCACCTTGAGTTTGAATGGGGATATGAAAATATAATATATATATTCTATGTTTGGTATTCTTCTAGTTGTATATATATTAAGTTTGTTTTAGGAATGATTGTAATTACATTATATTTTGAATGTTTGTGATTATGTAATCGTGTATTTATTTTTTGGTTTAGGAGTTAGGATTATATAAATTAAGGTTTTGATGTAATCAAATACAATTGAGTATACTGAATATTCAGAAAGCTTGCATGTAGATCTACTGTAATTAAATTATATAATACATAATCATTTAGCTTTGTTGTACCTCTTTGTAGTTTTTCAACTTTTCAGTGACCACAATTCCTGCACCAATAGGTTGCTGCTTTAAGACTTCAATTATCCCAGCCTCATCTTCTTTGTCTATGTTCTTGAAGCTCTTAATCCTCAAAGCAGGCTTTTTATAACAAAATAATAATAATTAAATATTCAAATCAATTAAGCAAAAAAGTAATTCTTTTTAATAAAACAAAAAATAAAAATTTTATAAACTTGCCCTGTGTATCTCTTTACTGAGACAATGTTGCTTTTGCGCTTTGAAAGGGCAATCCAACTCTCGTCTTATGCCATATTGTCTCGCATACCTAAAGCCTTCATTGATTGAAGATCTAAAGCACACTTTGGCTTCTTTCTTCACACAGTTAATAAGCTCCTGGGGGGCTAATTGGAATAACTCCATACATTGATACTTGATGTTATATAATGCCTCAACAGCGGCACAACCAACTATTGCCCAGCAACATTCTAGCAAAATAAATTAATATATATGTAAAAGAAAAATTATAGCATGAGATTAATAGAAAAAGTACTGAGATTTAATAAACTCACCACATCCACCTTGATCTCGAACTTCGTTAACTAAACCTTGTTCCTTCCAATTAATATATGGCTACATAAATATAAAAAAAAAAATTAAATTAATTAAATAATTGACACAATCAATCTGAATACGACTTTAACATATAAGTACTTTAGACAATATTCATCCATTACCAATATGCTTATGCCCAATTTTTGTAATTCATCGTGTTTTATAGTAACTTTATCCAAACTAGGCCTAAAGCATCAATTATGTAATTTGCATACATTATTAATTTTAACATATATGTTTAATTTCAAATTTGTAATGGTTATGATAGATACATGTGACATTAATTTTTATTATTTTGTAACTTGAGCTATTTCAAACTTATATCAAAATATAAGTTATTTAGGTATGAACAGCATATTGTAAAATAAATATTTTCATTATTGATGTTAGTGTTAATTACTCAAACAGAAATCTTAAACCTTACATGTAAACAACATTTCTTGAGTTAGATTGGGTGACGTACATAATAAAGACAAATCAACTTAAATTGATTTTGAGAGGGTAATTTGTATCAACAAATTGGGCCGAACTAGGTCAAATTATCTTGGAAGTTTGAGCTGCGTTATGGACCGAGATAAGAATATGGACATCATGGTCTTGGGCTGAACGAGTTATGGGCCGCCCAGATATGGGCTTATGGGGCCCGAACCTAGCTGCTTTCGAGCAGTCCATGGTTGACCGACGTTGTGGGCAAGTTGAAGGAATAAGGCCGAGATAACCATAGCTCAGCAATGCGCCATGAGCGGTCAGGATTTGCATAGCTTGGCCAGAGGAAGAACTAGACCAAGTAGCTCAATCAAGCGTTGACCGCCGAGTGAAGTGTTAGCCATCTCACTTGGCTTGCAGTGAGATGGGTGTTGAAGGATAATCATTATCTTTTAAGAATGCGATTCTTAAGAGGACTCTGCTAAGGAGAGTCAAAGTCCTACTATGATTGCGCCACACGAAATCTATTAAAGCTCATGTCAACCCACAATCTCAGGCATTACAATTCTTACTCTCGAGTACACAAAAACTTTTTATCTATTGTCTACTTGCTGACTTGAGTATCGGAGGGGTTTTCGGCACACACCCGCCGGTTAATTCATGTTTATGTTTTCAGATGATAAAACGATGACATTTGAAGGAGTGTTAACTTAATCAATAGAATTATACGAGAAGGATCATTTCATGTTCGTATAGATTTTTTAATTTTCTCAAGAACCAAACCAACTTGCTCAATAATCAAAGCATATTTGGTTGGGAAGTGGGTTGGTTTTTTGATTTTTAACTTTTTAACTATTTTAGCTTAGGGTTAAAAAGTTCATTTGGGTTAGGCTTTTGGCTTTTTTGACTTTTATAAAAAAAATAAAATAATAATTGTATGACATTTTATTTTATTAACTTTTTAATCTATTTTATCTTTTTATAATTAAATTAATCCCTAATCTAAAAAAAGTCGCATGCCAAACAAGAGCAAATGTTTGGGTTGGTCAGGTTTACAGTTTAACTTGGACCAAATTACCAAATTGCTTGCACCACTGTTGAGATAAATCTAAGGAGAGAGAAAAAAAAAAAGTAACAATCTGCTTTGGGGAGAAATCTTAAATAAATAAACAAAAATGGAAAAATGTAAGACAAATTTACTAAAGTTTGCTAATAGAATTAAAGGTGGGCGCGGGTCGGTTGCGGCCACGGAACTTTCAATTCGCCATCCGTCTGTCAGATTGACAGATTGAAGAAAATCAATCCGCATCCGTCCGTCAATCCGGCGGATTTGGATTGAACGGATTGACGGATTGGCGGATGGATGCAAATCGGTTTGGTGGTTTAAAATTTTATAAATTTTCAATATAATTCAACTTGTGTACTTCCTCAAAAAAAAAGAAAAGTATTACAGTTAATGACTTAAAAAAATATTATAATCACTGCGTGCCTCATCCAAAGTAAGAAAGTTTGAAACTTTAGAATTTCACAATCATTACATGCCTCATCCACATACTACAATCACAGTCTCATCCACATAAAGTATTACAATCTGTGGCTCTTAAAATATAAAAATAATTCAAACCACCAAAACCATGAACAGAGCAGTAGTAGAGATTGTATGTCTCTATATTGTTACATCTATATTTGTTTTTTAAAACAAAAACCAACCCACATATATCATATTTTTTATTTATTATTTTAGAGATAGATTTAAAAACCAAAAAATATAGATAAATAATACGTTTATTTTTTTTAATTCAAAAAAATATTCAAGTTGAAAAAAAATTTTCAACACAATATTTGAACTCTTTTTTAATTGAAAACACAAACAGAATATTTAAACAAACTGAAAACACAAAGTCTTATAAATTACTAGGGGTGTTCGCGGTTTGGCAGTTCGGTTGCGGCCAATAGAATTTCAAATCCGCTATTCGTCCGCCAGATTAGCGGATTTGAGAAAATCAATCGGCAATCATCCGCTCGTCATCACGCATCCGTCTAAAATGCGGCGGATCGGTTCGGTTCGGTCGGTTTTGACGAATCGGTATATCCGCTGCTCAACCCTAAATAGAATTGCTCAAATGTTTTTCTTTTTTTTTATTTTTTTATTTTTTTGTTGCATGTGTTTGTCTCCAATTTGGCACGGCCAATAGGATGCTACCATGTGGCATTATGTTCTAACAGAGACAGAAGGTGTAAGGCTCAAGCCATGGGGTTCAATGCATGAGTCGTTGGGTGCAACAAGTGAAATAACCTTGCTCCCATGTGACAAAATATTCCATTCCAGGTAGATAAGTCTTAAATCCTAGGAAAGTGCTAAGCGGGGAAGTAAGTGGGTTGATGGCATCGTGGAGGGAGTTAAAAAGGATTTAGAATAATATTAGGGGTCATAAAAATATATTATGAAATATTTTATAAAAAAAAATTATTTTTTAATTGGTGTATGATATTTTTTTATATGTGTAATTTAATGATAAAAATTATTTTTATGATTTTTTTTCAAGGATACATAACATTACTCAAGAATTTAATACAAAAACTAGAAAAAGTCTCGACCAAATATGCAGCAAGTGAGCAGTTATTAAGTGGAAGAACATAGGACACGTGGCAGATTTTCATAACGACACAACAAACCATGTAGGGACAAATTAAATGACAACACAAGCCACTATATGCATAAGGATCTTCTAAACTGTTTTTTTTTTTAAATTTTTTAAAGTGATATATTGTGTGGTTGAAATTTAATACTGAAAAATTGATGTGATTTGTCATTAAATCTCAACTGCACAATACACTATTCTAAAAAAATTTAAAAAAAAAAAAAAACTCTAAATAATCCTTCCTCCACTATATGAAACGAGAAATGAGGGCATGGCAAGTGGTCCATCACCACAACAATGATTTCTACATTCAAGTTATTCATTTTGGCTCAGTGCCATTATCCTAGCTTAGCTTTAGCAGCTTAGTTGCTTGATACTATTTTTGGTTAGAAGATTTAAGAAGAGATTTAAAAATAAATAAATAAATAAAATATATTTATATTTTACCTAATTTTACACATCTTTTTTTTTTTCATTTCTAAATCTCTAGTCAAATCCTCTAACCAAACGCCACATAAGTTTAGCTATAGCCGTGTAGTTTCCAACACCTTTCAAATCTGTAAACTTTACTATTTCAACAATAGGAAAGTTTACTTCGCTTATTTCATTTTAGCATCTTGATCTTTTAATTCCTATTTTTCCATGATTTAGTGCCTCTATCTAATATTTTAAACATCAAACTGGTGAGCGAATCGAAAAAAAAAAAATGGATGAACGATCACTGGTTCAACCGTCAAGTTGAACCAGAATCGAACCATGATATTATAATTATTTTATAAATATTTTTATGATTTAAAAATAATAAAATACATACATTTAAAATATTTTTATAATTTAATATATATATTCATCAAACATATATGTTTATATATATTTTTATATTAATATTATTTGTAAAAATATTAATTATACATGTTGTGGGGACATAATTTTTGAATGACAACATGGGACCGAGGTGGTACCGAAGTGCCAGCCGAGGTTCCACGTGTCCTGGACATGACGCTGAGATAATCTCGGCTAGGCCGAGGTTACCTGCGAGGATACCAGAATCCGAGATAAGCTAATATATATATTCATCAAACATATATGTTTATATATATTTTTATATTAATATTATTTGTAAAAATATTAATTATACATGTTGTGGGGACATAATTTTTGAATGACAACACGCGACCGAGGTGGTACCAAAGTGCCAGCCGAGGTTCCACATGTCCTGGACATGACGCCGAGATAATCTCGGCTAGGCCGAGGTTACCTGGGAGGATACCAGAATCCGAGATAAGCGGATAAGGGACAAGAGTCCTAGAATGAGAAAGTTCAGTTTGGATAAATATAAGACTCTTAGAGAGTTATCCCAATCTAACTGGGAGTCCAAGATTAGCATTGAGCCAGAGTCTATTGAAGCTAGGCTTCTATTGGGATTAGGTCAGTGTTGGCTATAAAAGTAAGGCACCCCCATGAGTCTAAGGTACGCTTTTTGTATTCTGAATAGTGAGTTAAGCACTTTTGCTATCTGTGAGAGATAACTGACTTGATCGTCGGGGTGTCCCCGGGTGGACGAACCACCGTCGGAGTCTTTTTCTTTCTGTGACAGGCTGTTCGAGCTTGATTTATTCTGTCGGTGTTCTCTAGCTAAGTTCCTGTTTGGTAGTTTGGTTAGAAAACAGCACACACAATTTGGAGCCGTCTGTGGGGAAAAAAAAGAATAGATGGCCAACGACGGACAGAAAGAAAAGGTTGGGGACGACATCTCTGATGGGAGAGGTAAGCACATTGACCCTAACGTGGAGGAGGATGACTGCAACGAAGAATCCCGGAGAGAAAGACGTCAGCCAGGAGGGCAACGTACCAAAGAAGTCAGACCGAGACGGGTATTATAACGAGAACGACCTCCAGGTATGGAAAGACAGATGCCTACGAAGGGACAGAGAGATAAAGGGAATGGCG